TAATAGTGTAGATATTCTCAAAGCTTTAGGCAAGAGGAAAATTTATCTATATAGATTTGGGTCTCATTTAATTGTTTCCTGCGACACCCTTTTCCTCCTTGTATTATAGTTCAACATTCCTACCGATATCAAATCTCTATGAAAACAAAATCATGTTAAGAGGCTTAGTTAAAATGGCTTGTAAGCCACAGAAAATTATTTATTTTATATGAATTATATATTACATTATTTTTCATTATCTACTTTACATCATTATTTTGTTGCAAAAATTATTCTCACTTTAGTAGAAGAAGAGAGGGCAGTGGCGTATGCGCACGCAACTTCCCCCCCAAAAAAATTTACTCGCGCCCCCTAAAAAAAATCATGGTCAAGTAGGTAAAATTTACCGATATCAAATCTGTATGAAAACAAAATCATGTTAAAGTGGCTTATTTAAAATGGCTTGTAAGCCACAGAAAATTATTGATTTTATATAAATTATACATTACATTATTTTTCATTATCTACCTTATATCATTATTTGGTTGCAAAATTATTCTTACTTTAGTAGAAGAGGAGAGGGCAGTGGCGTATCTAGAGGAGGGCACGGGGTGCACACTGCGACCCCCCCCCCCAAATTACTCGGGGCCCCAAAAAAAATAAAAAATCACGGCCAAGTAGGTAAAATTCACCTAAAAATCACCATATTTTACGAATTAGCACCCCTCAACTGATCATCAAACCCCCCACTTCACCTTCTTGCCCCTTCCATCAGCACTCCCATTTTAAAACTTCTAGATAAGCCACTGGGGGAGGGGAATAGGGGAGTGGAAAAACGAGTGATATTGAAGTAAAGGCCTCCGGTACGTAAATGTGGCTGCGTAAGCCTGCATAATGCAATATTGGTTTTAATTGTTTTGCCTTCTGGTTGAAGTTGTCGTCACTTTCTAAACAGCTGAACCACGTGTTTTTATGACTAATTCTGAGCAAAGTGGTGAAAATACACCTCAAGACAAATCTGTTTGCGTTCCATTCATAGGTATTAGATTGCTGATTAGTTCAAAATACTCCATTATTGCTAACTACCGTAGCATTACCTTGTAATATGAGATTCTACCACATAAGCTTATTTATGGAATTCCTAATACTGTATATTCAATGGGCTTTTTGTCTGATTAAGTATTAGAATATCATTAAGTTATTTTTTTTTAATAATTATTTTTGCTCCTCCTATACTCCCTCATATTCCTCTTCCTTTTCTCCTTTCTCTCCTTAACTTTTTTCCCTCTGCTTTTCCTTCCTTTTTCCCTTCCTTCCATTTCTTCCTTTCCTTTTTCCTTCCCTCTCAAGCTTTCTCGTCACAATTCTCTACGTGTTAAAAATTTTCCAGGTAAGGTTTTAGATTTGAAACAAGAGAGAAATCATTCAATCCATACCCAAATAAACTTGGAACTTGCTTACATTTTTTCACTGACCATCTCATTATGTCTGTTTCCATTGTATTGCCCAATTAAGTATGATTGTAATCAAAGAATAGGCTCTAAACTGGACTTGTTCAAGTGTTATTTAAATGTTGCATTATTTAAGGTCAATAGAGGACCTTGTAAAATTTACTGTTAAAATCATTGACATTTTGGTGGAGCTTAGCTGAACTGAAGCGTTTGTTGATACAGTTCCATGCTGTTACAACAAGGTATGGCATTTTAAATTGGATTTGGAAGAACGTTATGAATATTTGTGTAGGCTTCTTCAAAAAATCATTGCAGATTTGCATAGAATAATTAATATTTTGATACATTTGTAAGCGCGAACCAAAGTTGAATGACTTGGAATGTTTTTGAATTTGCACTTACTGAAATGCTGATACAGGCCAGTATTATAGTCATACTCTTTTTTTTTTAAAGAAGGAGCATATATTACATTGAATATAGAAATATAAACAGTTTTTATATCATGAATTATCGAAAAAGTAGCTTTCTCAATAAACATGTCTTTTGAATAAATCCCTCTAACAAATAAGCTACTTTCATTGCATAAGCTCCTCTCTCAAAACGTACCTCCTTTGAATAAGGGTCTCAGTCTAGTAAATGACTCTAATAAGTGCCTCTCTTGTATAAGTACCTCACTCTAATAAAAGCCTCTAATATAAGTCCCTCTCTTGAATTAGTACCTCACTCTTATTAATGACTGCCTCTCTGAAATATGCAACTTTCTTGAATATAATTAGCCCCACACCAAAACATGTCTTTTCTGCTAAGTGCTGCTCTTGAATGATGTACTGTTGCATTTATTAGAGATTTTTAACGAGCATAGATAATTATAAGTACATATTATCCAACCAACATGCCTTAATGTTCCTTATCATCAGAACAACATTAAATATCCAATTTCTCAGATTAAATAAATTAAATGTTAGAAAAAGTTATTTTAACACTCCACTATTACTCTGGAGTAAATGCTGCACTGACGAAAATCGTTTGTAGGCAAAAGGTACAAGGATGTAGTATACCAATAGGAAACTCAATCACTTCCTTATTGGTAATACTTTTCACAAGGCAAACATACACAAGATGCTCTACATACAGTAAGCTAAAGTTGCATTATGAGGTTTAGGGAGTGGAGTTAAAGTCATAAAAAATAGCCTGACAAGATATGAACCCAGGACTCCTTGGATTGGAAGACAGGTATCTCATTTGAAATAGATGGATGGTACAATGATATTATGACTATAATGCTTTTAGTAAAATATCCGGCTGATAAATAAGTTTAAGGAAAGGCTACTGTATAGCACTTGACAGCAGTTCATCATTTTCTGTAAACTATTTAAACAAAAACCATTTCTCTCAGCAGAAATAGTCTATTCCTGAAGTAGTTTTTTTTTAATTTGAGAAGGAAAGATAGATAGAGAGAAAGGGGTGGGGGTAACAGTAATGAAACGCTAACAGTACCGTATGCTATCCCAAACAATGAATAAATCCGATTTTAATAAAAATTGAGTCTATCATAATTCAGCCAATCATTAATTTGTTTTAATAAGTTACAGAGCATTTCTGATTGAATAAAAAGAAGTTAAATGGAAAATAGCAACCTAATTGTATGTTAAAGGTTGATTGTATAAACATCTTTGAACAAACAATTTTGTCTGACTTCACTCTTTGTCCTGTACCTTCAGGCTACAATACATTGTTATCTATTCTGTAAATTTTTATTTAAATAACATAAACATTGACTAGTTTTAGTACAGTAGTTCCAAACACTGAATGATGACAGTTCAGTATTATTAAGTAACTTGTTACAGTAATTAACTTTTTACCTAATCAAAATCATGCTTCACTTTCAATTTCTGCATTCTCAGTCTAAATGCTATATTCTGCATGTACATGATTGTTTCTCAACCAAAAACAACTGCACTCCCCAAGTTCGTAACCCAATTTAGTTTGTTGATTTTCGTTTTATGAAGCTAAAACAAGAAAGGCCCAATAAAAATAGTTATTAGTTTATCACCCTCATGCTCATGTCTTCTATGTTACTGAAAAAAAAATTGAAGAATTTTTTTTAAAACTAAAAATGTTGTTCTGAACAAAATCATTTTTATTTTTTCATTTTTTAAATTAAATAGTGGAAGTTTTTTGTATTATGTCAATCATGTTTTCTTTGAATATCAGTGCACCAGCAAACAACTCAAGGGTGATATTTGGCTTTAGTATAAAAAAAAAATCCTCCCTCACTTATCACTTTTCCAGCCTAAATAGGGTGATAAACTAATAATATTTTTATAGGGCCTAATGGAAAGTTGATAAACATAAGTAAATATAGTATATTTTGTTAGGTGTGAATATACTATACTCAGTATCTTTATTTATTTTTTTTGACCAAACCTATTTTAAGAAGTGGCTTTAGGTCTTCCCCCTATTTTTATACCTCCATGATCTTCCCATCACCCTTCCCATAATTGGATACATACTATGGCTTTACATACACGTAAGATTTGTTTTAGTCTAGAATAATGATTTTGAATTTTTCTCATCCAAGTGATACTCAATTTAATATTATAAGATTCCATAGTAATCATTAGACATGATGTGGAAGTATTATACCTCTATGCTAGATGGAAGTTGTTTCACAAGGAATGTTGAGGGCGCTATGTTACTTTGTGACACTCTCATTTTGTTAGATGATTAGTAAAGTTATTAGGAAAGACAGAGATGATGGCTTAAGTATCAGTATGCAAACCAGAACTCTGCAAGGGCCAGTGTTCTTATGCAGCCATTTTGGTAAAATGTTACACTATATGATGTAGATAGAAATAAGCAAAACAAACAAAATAGATCCAGGAGTTTTCTTTAAAAGAGAGCTAAAAATATATATATTTTTTTAAACTCTTTATTCAGGTAGAAATGTTAGGGACTTTTAATATCCTCTAATCTAAAGTGATAGTCATTGCATTTTTGGTACATTCCCTAGAGTCCAATTATCATTTGGAGAGGTCAACCAACTGCTTAGAATGGATTTCATCAAAATAGACATTTAATAATCCACTGTACCACATAGCACTAGATTATTTCAAGTTTTGGAAGGAGGAGGGGGGTTTGTATAATAAAGTTTTGTGTATTGCTTTATATTTATTCAAAACTGTTTTCAAACAATAGGGCACAATTACTTGAACAATACTACTGTACATGTATGCAGAAATTCATAACCAACAAATATTTGGAAATTCAAGCTTGCTTGTTCACAAATTTTTGATTAGTTTGATGACGCCATTGGTCACAGAGGCGCGTGGACAACTGCAAAGGTTCCTTTGCTTTTCAGTATAGTACACAATAATAGTTGCTGAATAGCACTAACTTTTAGAGGAATAATTCACTTCAGTCTTCTTGTGTTTATAAAAAATTCCAAATTTGGAAGTGTGACATTAAAATGCACATAAAAACTGCCCTTGTGGTCTTTAAATCTTTGAAATTTTTGTCATACCTCTGCATTTGTCAATGTTTATAATTTGTTTTTTATTTTGTTTACAGGTGCCCTGAGAGAAAGTAAACATGGCATCCGTCAAATCAGGTGGGCACCATCCCCGGGAGCCAGGTGTCAGCGTTAGTAAATTACGGATGCTTTTTGATCCATCAAAATCCGGATCTACACCATCAACTGCCCAATCTGTTACTACTCAAAATTCTAGTAATGGAACATCAAAACCACCTATTGCGCCACGTACAGAGTTTTCGAAAAGTGTGGGAAAAAGAGCTCCAGGAGGTGACTATAAAGACACAATAAATTTAGACCCCAATACATCCATAAAAATAATTGAGAAACCCAGTATTAAACACCAAGGTGTATTCAGTAATAGGCGTGCATTCTTTGAAAAAGCAGACAGTCCACCCCCTGTTCGAAAATTTGTGACTGGAAGCATTCCTCCATCAAGCCCTCAAATGGTACATAAACGTATAATCCCATCGCTTCCTGATAAACAGGTAAAACCTGAACCAGTTAAAAGACAGAAACTAGATAGCAGCAATAATAAAGAAAGGATTGAACATAAGCATGATAGTGGAATTTCACTTGATGAAAAAGTAAACTTAAAGATGTCAGACCCAGAGTCAAAACATCATGGTGTCAGACTAAGTTCATCAGACAGTGATGGGGATCCTTTTGATGAAAGACGAAATCGTATACAAAATTCTTCCAACATAATAAAATCAAATGATAGGGATGTTGAACCGGTTAAAAAAGCACCTGAAGTAACAAGAAGGTTTAGAAAGAACTCACGATCACCTGATGATGGCACTAAAAGACGAAGTGTCACGGATCCTCCACCATTTATGAAAGGAACTCATGACATCCATCACGTAGCAGCCCCAACAGTTAAAAAACGCGGACTAAGTGCATCAGAATTGATAAGCCTAGACAGTCAAAACCAACGGAAAAGCGGATCGTCTGAGAGATCCAGCTCAGTTATGTCAGACGATTCAGAGCTTTATGAGTCATCGGTTAGACAACATGAATTTATTTCTCCAGTTGATGACGAGTTTAAAGTGACAGTAAAAACTAATGAGAAAGTACAATCAGATATCCCTCGACATATTGACCATCAAGATAATCAGAATAACACTGTATATTCAAAAGATATTTCTAGTTCTGTTGAAAATGTACATTCCTGTAAAACAACCATGGACAATGAGCAGCAGCAGAATGAGAAAGATGATGAAGTTCTCATGGATACCTCTACAGATGACTTGAAAACCCCTCCTTCTTTCATTGAAGACAATACACCAGAAAAACTAGATGACCTAACAAAAACAGCAGATTTTATAAATGAGGGGGAGAGGGAGGATGTTGAGACCGAGGAGGAAGATCCTTCTGAAAAGGGGGTAAATGAATCGGGAATGATTCAGATCGGAATCACTGTGGAAGAAACCGGGGACTCTGACGAGGAAGAAGAATCAGATGGCAATAGAAGTGATGTGTCGGAGATTGGATCGTCTGATTATGAATACACAGTGAATGTTGAAGATGAAATGGATGAGGATGAAATGGAAAATAAGCAAAACAACAGATTAGAGGAGGAGGAAGAACAAGAAGAAGTAAAAGAACTTGTAAGTTATTTCACAATTTTCCAGTATGTATTATTAACTACAGTACTGTTAGATATGTTTTGTATTGATGGCAAGGTTTGATATGATACCATCATGCCCATATATGAGCAGATCACACACAATTTTCACATCAATTGTAATAGTGTGGTCAGTCAGTAATAAGTTTGAATGTAGGAATAGTTAATGTTATGATCGTATAAAAAATACACATGCGAAAGGCTTTTGCATTGAGGATACATACTATCATATTACTGTCATATTCTATGACAAAAACCCTTGACCTTCCCATATATGCCAAAATTATTTATTTTATTCTTTAAATATAAAAATATCAACAAGGAGATTAATTCGTCAATGTATAAAAATTTATCATTCAGATGATATTGAGATACTAAATATGTTTTTTGAAATTTTTTGAAAAGGAGAAACGAAATATGTTTTTAGAAAATCAAAATCAGGTCACCATTCATTTGGGAACACTAATAGTTATTTATAGGTCCTAAATTATTTTATATTTTTGGTTTCTAACCCAGTGGTTCTGTCTCTTTATCTAGGAGGAACACTTACCTGAGCCTTATGAAGTGGGAGGCTTAAGCCCTGAAAACACGGACATTATCGATTCTGGTGAAATTAAACGGAAACGAACACTTATATTTAGTACAAGACCAATTATGGTAAGTATACACATTATTGTTTAAATACACTTGCAAAAAAACTTTTAGAAACTTGAAAAGATCAAATATATTACTCTATGTGACTGGTACTGTATAAGACATTGATCATTTAAATATAAAGTAGAATAATTATTATAATAATAATTATAATTATTATAAGTCATTTGTGACGTCATCACTGCCACTCCCAATGTTATTTGCCTATCTCCCACAGTCCAATAATGATTTCTTTTAGTTTTGTGTGCCAAAAAAACCCTAATTTTTCGTCACCATGAACATATTGCGCACCCTGATGAATATTGGATTGTAATTGAAAATTACTTTCGTAAAACAAGGTTGCTTAGAACCTGAAGAAAGTTGCTTAAATTCAATATTAAGTATGAAAAATTAAGGAATTCCTTGAATCAGTGAACCCTAAAAAACTAAAACTAAACGTTTAAGAGGAATATTCTAGACCTATTTCAAAGACTCAAGGAATAAAATTAGATGTAGGCCTACGGCCAGGCAGGAGGCCGCCGAGGCCTCCTCTTACTAGTGCTAGGCCATAGTCTAGCGTAGTTATTAAATCATTGCATGATTTTTACCTGTCTGCACCAACCAAAAAGTCAGTGACTGTATTCTGTCTCGAATGCTTTAAGAAATGTTTATTTCTTTGACAAATGTCTATCAAAATAGCATTACAAACAAGTTCTTCTACACAATACAAATTACAATATAGTTATTCATCGTACCCGTACTGACAGTACAGCTGATGTGTAGTTGTAGTGCCGTAGGAGTATAAATCAGCATACGCACAGCTAAATGTAAACAATTATGCACACAGTATATATAGTCCGGCAGCTTAGCAGTTGGATGTGGACGTTCCGGACAAAAGCACCAATTTTTTTTTACATGCTCCTTATGGTCATAGCATTCAATTTTTGGTAGGAACCACCTAATCCGAGGTCATTATGGCGGCCAT